GCTAGGTGGTAACTCCACAAAGCCAGCACACTCTCTGCCTGCCAGCTACCTGCTTTCAGATATTTCAAACATGGGAAATGGGTCGTGTGGCCTTGCAGACGCGCCCTCATTCAAGTGCTGAGGGGCGCCTGGAGCACCCTTTGGAAAGCCATGGTGCCTGGCCCACTGCTCATGCAGAGCCTCTGTGCCCTGCCTTGGGTACAATGACTGCACAGGGCTCCTGTGCCATGTGGAGGCTCATTGGGTCTGGCCCAGTGCTCCTGCAGGCTGCCTTTGCCATGGAAAAAAGCCCTCTGGCCCTGCTGGCCTCCTCCATGGGGCCTGCCCTCTACTCCGGCAGCATCTCTTTGCCCTCCTCTGGCTGCCATGGGGCCTGGCGAGGCAGTCAAAGAGAGACAAAGAGGCCCTGAGCAATCCAGGCCAGGCTCATGGCGCACAGCTCAGAGCAAAGAGGCCCTGCATGAGCCCAGCAGGATGAGTGTGCTGCTGCTCTCACACACATGCTGCTTCCTGCTCTTCCAGCTCCAGCCTTGCAACAGCCATTGCTTCTCTCCTGGTCTTTTGGTGTGTCTCCTGTCTGGGAGTTTCCTGTCTCCGCAGACAGGAAAGAGGGCCTAGATGGAGCCTGGTGGGTGCTGAGCAGAGGGGATCAGTTTTGCCTGCCCTGGCTAGGGAAGAATTACAGGAGAAGTCCCCAAGATCTGTGAGTCAAATGCTGCCTTTGACCTCCCGTGGTAGGTCATATCAATGAACAGATTAGAACAGAATATAATCAAACAGGATAGAGCAGAACTAAAGAGGACAGAACAGAATAGTTACTCTGTTTGCAGGAACATACAAAAATCTTCTAACAACTAGCTTCAGAAAGGTTACTAGTTGCAGAAGGCTTGCATCAAAAAGGACATCAGAATGTCTAGTTTCACCTTTTCCAGTTTCTGCATCATTGAATCTCCCCAGCCATTTCTGCTGGTAGAAACAGGAGCATGGCAGAGGGAGTGTGCCACAGGTGCTTACTCCCAAGTTGCACAGGCAGCTGAGAGAGAACAGAGAGGGACACATTCTCATTTTGCTGGGAAGCAGCTCTAGAGGCACTCGAGTGCAAACACTGGAAGCACTGCAGACGTGCTCTCCCGAGTTAGGTACAATCTGTGGGCATGTGGAAAGCATCTCCCAGGCAGCACACTCCCCCTTCTTGAAGTAAACACACAGCTATGTGTGTGGATTGCTAGCTTTTGCTTCTGACCAAGAAAAGACTCCGAGTGCCTGGGAATGTGAGTCCCAAGCAAAGCCCCGTTGTGTTTGGATTTAATGACCCAGCACTGAGCTGATCTGGCTCCTGGGGACTGTAGAAGCACACAAGCAAATGCACTTCTCTCTCCTGGTGGGAAGCTGGTTTGATGCCTTATTACTGTAATTGCCAAATACATCAGTCATTGCAGGCTGTCTCCAAGACTTCATCCTCTCTCGTCCTCTGCTCAGAAAGGATAGGCAGCTTATTTTGACAATGCTTACAGAAAAGTGCTTGGGATTTGTTTATTCTGGACTATGTCTCTGGTCATCCTTGTTCCTGTCTTTCTTTAAAGGTAAGCTCATCTGTGGTTGTCCAAATTTAGTTTGTTTGTTTTGTCATTTTTGTTTGGTTGCTTTAATTTGTTGTATTTACACCACCATCTCACCCCCCCCTTTTTTTTTAATTAAACACTAGTCACATCCCACCCTAACTCTATTACCAAGACTTGTATCTGCTTCTAGTTTAAACCTTGTTAAAGTCCAGTGCTGGTTCCACTGAGTTTTGTAACCAGTGCTTGGCACCTTCTCTTAGGAAAGCGTAAGATGTGGGCATTTTTTAAAATGAAAAGTTGAGTCACTTTCACTTTCAGGAATGAATTAAAATGATTGTGCTTCAAAAGGAATATGTTCTTGATCTACTTTAAAAATTGAACCTATCCATTTTTTCGGGGGTGAATGGGAAACTATAACTCCCGGCTATACAGGATGCCTGTGAGAACCCTGTAAGTCTGAGTGGGAAATAGCATTCTACAAAGGAAAATGATCTGAAGAAAATTTTTAACTGTTTACTTTCTGTGTATCATTTGGAAAAATTTATACATAAATAAATTTGTGCATAAATTCATAAATTTATTACTTCTGGTTTGTTTTTCTCTTCCAGCTTTCAGTATGTTTAGTAAGAATCTTTTCAGGCAGTGATAGGTATAAGTTGGAAACATCTAATAAAAATAGTAACAGACTTCTGTGTCACCTGTGACCAAGCTGTCTTCTGAAGTTTCACCATGTTATAAACAAATGTAGGAACTGTGTGATTCTTCTGAAACATGGAGGACTGCAAAACTAATAATAAAGAACATTAAAATGAGAAGGGGAGGTGAAATAGCCACAGTCCTGAAAGACGTTCAGGATTCTGCAGAAAATGTGCTTTTATTCCTCCCCAACAGCTGAAACATACATGCCTTCAACAACTATAATTTCTAAAACTGAGTATTACAGGTGTGAGGGACCATGCCATATTGCTCACAATTTATGCATAGAGAAAGAAGGATTGTCTTTTTAAAGCAGAGAAAGCAGTCTACATATTTCAGAAGCGCAGGGGCATGGTAAAGTTACCTGTGTGACGTTGCATTCGACTATTCATGCATGCAGATAATTCCTTATTAGTTTAGCTGAATCTGCAAAACATCCATGCATTTCATTATTACAGCTCCACATTTCAGCTGCCTAATGTAGCAATGGTATTTCAGAAAATTGTTTCCTTACTTTGCTAAATTAAGGACCTTGCTGTCTTTGTAAGTCATTTTGGTGCTACTTCAGGAGCTAAACTAACAGGCAGGTGATGACAGCTAGTTATGATATAATTCACTTTGTGTACAGTCCCATTTGAGCATTTCTGTGAACAGCACCTTTTAAATACTGGGTAATCATTAAATCATTGTGGAAGAGCTTAGTTTCTCTGAGCAGCACGTGAAGACATAAACTGCTTTTACAAATAGTTCAGAGGATTTTTTTGTTAGGTGCTTTTACCAGCGGTTTATAAGTACACGATTTTACAGGCAACTACTGGAGCAGAGTAAAATGAATCTGAGGTCTGTGTTTGACCTCTGCTTTGTGGATAGTTTGTTGTTGGGGTTTTTTTTGTTTTTCTTTTTAAAGAAAAGGGAAATAAAAATCCTCAGGAGTTGTTCATTTGGGGCAGAAGAGGAAAAAGTTAAGATGATCTTAGCTTGTTATCAGTAGCAGATAATAGTAAGGTCCAAATGAACTCCCGAAGGATTCCTCAGAGAACCCACGCAGAAGTCACAGAAAGTCCATCATAATTAACATCACTCTCACACAGTGCTGAGTTGTTTCAACAGAATTCATAATAATTTCTTAACTGAAACTATTTCTCATTGAAAATTTCTGCAGGGCTGTTTGACAGAAAATTGTGACAAGGATGAAGTAAAAACCAAACTAAACTAAACCCAAACCAAGGTTCCACAACTTTTTGCTTTCACTTGATTGTGCTTGCACTACTGCTACGAGCCCTGATGCACATTCAATTAATTTTAGGTCATTGCAGCCCTCCTTCCTGAAGAGCCTGGAGCTAGTGATGCTTTCCTCAGACATGAGCCTTAGGGAAAATCAGGAAACTGGCTTTCAGCCTCCCTGGATTCCAGATGAAATCTCCCAGAGCCAGATATCCCTTCTAGGCCAGGTGCAGTCCTTGAAGGAGCACCCAGAGGATGGAAGGACCCAGTGAGTCCTAGCAGCTACATAACAACCTCAGGTGGAGTGACTTGAAAAACCTGCTGTAGGGAGAGATTGGAATTTGAACCTGCTCTTTTCAGGGTGTTGCAGTCTTGGATCCAGAGAGCAGATGACCCTGCAAAGGAGTTCTGAGAAACATGTCCCATTAACCACATGGGCACGTAGCCTCTCTGAGGAGCATTACCTTCAGCTCAGTGCACAGGGCATCTTCTGGGTATGAACATCCAGGGAAGTTAAACGTTCACTTTGCTGGTCTCAAATCAACCCATGTGTTCTCATTACTGGGCTTTTACGACTAATTACTGGGCTTTTTTTCTTTCAAGTGAGGCCACCAAAGTGCCACACGTCACACAGAGTAGAGTCAGACTTAGGTTCTTTGCTCTATGTAGCCCGACATCAGGGTCACACTCTGGCCATATGGCTTTAAAAAGCCCAACAAAGGCAAAGGCAAACTGAGGACAGAGCACTTCCTTCTCAATCAGGTGGGAATGTAAGTGCTCAGCAGTGTGGGAGGGGATGCTGCAAGTGAGCTAACCAGCTAAAAGATGTAAATTATGAGGTTACTCAGCCTCACTTGGTGTACCCAGCTGGTGCAAAGCAGTTTTTATGTGGCTCACTCACAAACCAGAGTTTAATTCCTTTGCTACACTCATTTCATATTTCTCACAGCTTTGCTGATTTAGATGAGGTCTAGTGATCATATCAGAACACAACTGGTGATCTCTAGGAGCAAATCCTCACAAAGATGTTGTTCTTGGTTCACTTCCATGCAAGCAGGTGCTGTTTCTGTAGCAGCAGTAACATTGGCAAGACAGTCTGAAAAGGCCAGATTCTGCTGCCAAGCTACGATTCCTCTAACATGAGCTAGTTAGACTGAGGTGGCATGAGTTTAGAGGTATGTGTAGCAGAAAGAACCAAGGTTGGTTCTTAAACGCCTACATATGGAGTCTAAACTTAAGGCCTCATGTGGGTAGGACTGATGGAACTGCAGTGAGCTATGCTAATCAAACTGATTTACTACAAAGGGACACTGTGCAATGGCTGTGAGAAGTCCTGCGCTTTAATAGAGTACAGTGTATGTCATTGATAATTTGGGTGGTTGGTGAATGAACTCCACCGTTAGATCTTGTAAGTGTTACCAGACTAGAACCAGGTGTTAGATAATTTAAAATCTGTAATACTTTTAATTTGAGGTCTGAAGGCTGCATTCACCTCAGTTCCTCACATTCTGTACCTTAATGCTTTGAGTTGTGTCACCCCACTGAGTGATACACAGTTTCAAAGATTACAATGCAGCTGAATCAAGTTTAAAATAGAAAAGATACGGGGAAGACCTTTGCTTGTACAAGTAGGTATTTTCTTCTAGATTGGCTGAAACGATGTCACACAGGCACCTTGCAGAGATGGAAAATTACTGCCAGATCTCTGCCGTTACTGTAATAACTGGGAGCAGAGACACGAGAGTCTTGTCACTCTGGATGCTGAGAGCATGCTGAGGCATCACATATGCAGGGAGTCAGATGGAATTTAATGTAATTGTCGTAGCACGTGTCTGTTTTGAGGTGTCACTTTGCTCTGTGATCAAGAACACTAGTGCAAATACCTGTGTCAACACATTTAAGACAGGCAGGTAGAGTCCTAGGGAAATTTCTGAGATTATTTACTGTGAACTACTGTCTGCTACAGTAACTTGCTCTCATGCTTGCCTCCTGAGACTGACTTTTCAGTTCAATGTACCAGACTTCATGTTCAGTCACTTATATTCTATGTGCATTCACTGGCACAGCTCTAAGGCTGCTCTGTATTATAGGCACAGCTGCAAATGTGGAGCTGGCCCAAGCTTGTGAGAAGGTGCCAGGCTCCAGGATAGTTGGAGGTATTTCCATGCACATTTGCTGATAGTAATTGGGCTAAATCTTCTTGTGTTAACTGTCCTCAAATCTCACTAGAAAAAGTGGGAAGGTCCAGAAAAAGCACTTGGGCCCTGACATCACCAGCAGCTATTGTTATAAACACCTATTGGTATAGCATTCTGCAAGTAGGGAGGAATCCAGAAGCAGATACAGTTCTCATAAAAGTAGTATCCATCTGGTCTTTGGGATGATGCCAGTTGATACATTGGAATGTTGGAATGTTGGAATGCTCCAATGTACGATGGTATGTTGGAACCCCTTGCCTTGCTCCAGTCCAGGGGGCCTTCTGATGGTCTCAGAGCAGAAGTTCCCATTCCAGGCACAGGATTCATGTTCTAAAGACAGTTTCAGACTTTTTTTCTCCCTCTGGTTTATTCTCCTAATGCATGTGGAGGAGAACATGAGTTAGTGGTGGTGGTATCAGATTGGATGATTTTGTCTGCAATTTTAAATTTTTCCAAGCAGTGAAAGAAGTATTTTATGTCTGTGTTGTATAGTGAGAACAGTGAGCAGCAGCATCCCTTTCACACCTGTATGATGAAATAACTCTTTCCAGAATGGGTTACATCAGTCACAAAACAGGAAATATTTCCATCTGAACATGATTTTCAAGGGAATGTGTGTACCTAAATACCATTCAATTTCTCTATACATCCTGAACAAAGGGTTAGTGCAGCATGTCATTTGTATATGACACACAAAGAGGGAGATACAAAGTTTCTCTAGCTCTAGGGTATGATTAAAGTAGATCAAACTCCTTTTCATCAGTCCTGACTTGGTCGTACAAGGATGTCTACTGTCTAGAGATCCTGAAACATCTAATTAAGGAGGAGAGCAAATCTGCCTGAGACAGGTAGGGCTAGCATTGGCAAGCAGTAGGATCTATGGGAATGAAAAAGGTATACAGG